GCCCAGAATGAAGGGTCACAATAGTGTGCAAACAGAGTGATAGTGACATGCCCCGTTGATCGCCTTGATTTTCGAAAATGTACGCATTGTGTTTCATTGGTAATTTACTTAGCAAGAGTGTTATCAAATTGACAAATGGTTGCTCTGGAATAAACCACGTTGTCACGGTTTCGGCCGAGGCTGCTCCTCCTCCTTGTTCGGGCAGGTTTCGGCGGTCGTCGTCCCCGGAGTACTAGCTGCCACCGATCTATGTTTCATGTTCGTTTGGTTTTGTCTGGATGTTGTACACCTGTGTCTAGTTAGTCCTCATTAGTGTCCTATTTAGTTCTCGTTGTGTGTGTATGGTGTTGTGTGTGATTGCTCTTCTGTCTTGGTGTTCTGAGTTACGTATTCTTCCCTCCGTTGTTTGGAGAGGTTTTCGCACATGTTAGTGCGCCTTTTGTTTGACGCCTGTGTGCGCCTTTATTTCGCCTCCGGGCTTAGTGTTCTCGTGTACTACGTGAATAACTCACTAAAGTCTTTTGGACTTAGCTTCTGCGTCCTGCGCTTGATTCCTGCACCACACCCACCTTCAGCACCCCATGACACACGTGAAGCTTTTTGGCTAATCCTTTCTAATCGCACTAGACTCCATCTATGTCGAGAGCCACTGTGACAATACAATGGATGGCACAGCAGCCTGACTTTAATATTCGGAGAAATCCTCCTTGGTCTGTGGTCTCATTATAACTCTGTGAAACCCCTTTATGGCTCAGTGAAACCGAAAGCTCCAAAACAACTCCTCAGTTTCCTCCAGCAGCTTGCAGGGAGGCCCCTGAGCCAACAACTCCTCAGTTTCCTCCAGCAGCTTGCAGGGAGGCTCCTAAGCCAACAACTCCTCAGTTTCCTCCAGCAGCTTGCAGGGAGGCCCCTGAGCCATGGGGTGACTGGTTAAGTCACATCAACTGTATAACGTCAATAATAATGTCATTAGCTTTAGCTTTCATTGACTTGGTGGGAGGGTATCTTGCTGCTCCCAGGCTAGCAGTGCTAATTCTAATAGCTAGCAAGTCTTTAAGGCTAGCTGGATCTCTTTCTGTGCTCTAACCACAAACAAGTGCATGTGCAATTGAGTACTAGAGCAACAGATCTGCCATCTAAGGCTGATTTATAGACCTCCCGTTGGCGAACTTCTCAGCGCTTGTCAGAGTTACAGGGAAGCCACATTCCCATGTTCTCAGCGCTAGTCAGAGTTACAGGGAAGCCACATTCCCTTGTTCTCAGCGCTAGTCAGAGTTTCAGGGAAGCCACATTCCCTTGTTCTCAGTGCTAATCAGAGTTACAGGGAAGCCACATTCCCTTGTTCTCAGCGCTAATCAGAGTTACAGGGAAGCCATATTCCCTTGTTCTCAGCGCTAGTCAGAGTTACAGGGAAGCCACATTCCCATGTTCTCAGCGCTAGTCAGAGTTACAGGGAAGCCACATTCCCTTGTTCTCAGCGCTAGTCAGAGTTACAGGGAAGCCACATTCCCTTGTTCTCAGCGCTAGTCAGAGTTTCAGGGAAGCCACATTCCCTTGTTCTCAGCGCTAGTCAGAGTTACAGGGAAGCCACATTCCCTTGTTCTCAGCGCTAGTCAGAGTTACAGGGAAGCCACATTCCCTTGTTCTCAGCGCTAGTCAGAGTTACAGGGAAGCCACATTCCCTTGTTCTTAGCGCTAGTCAGAGTTTCAGGGAAGCCACATTCCCTTGTTCTCAGCGCTAATCAGAGTTACAGGGAAGCCACATTCCCTTGTTCTCAGCGCTAATCAGAGTTACAGGGAAGCCACATTCCCATGTTCTCAGCGCTAATCAGAGTTTCAGGGAAGCCACATTCCCTTGTTGTCAGCGCTAGTCAGAGTTTCAGGGAAGCCACATTCCCTTGTTCTTAGCACTAGTCAGAGTTACAGGGATGCCTAAGGCACACAGTCCCATTGCTGTGGTTTATTCTACAGACAAACAACATTAGGTAGAGAAACCTCCGTCTCATAGGATATTCGTAAAATAAAGACCACAAGGTGAAAGGCAACTCCTAAAGGCAGCAAATTAGCATTAGTTTACTTGACACTTATTTAGGTCATGTTAGTGTTAACAGGCTAATATTAGCATTAGCCATGCTTATATTTCTAGACGCCTCTTCTGTTTCATTTACTTATATTTAACTGTATGAAGAGTTTCATTTCAAAACGCTATATATCCACCTCCCTCTCAGAGAAAAAAGAGACCATGCAAATGATACATTTGTGACATCAATATTTTAAAATATATACATTTAAAAATTAAGCAATACAGTGATATGAGATCTGGGCTCTGGTCAAAAGTAGTGCACTATATAGGGAAATGGGTGCCATTTTAGGACGAGGCCTAACTAACCAAACACTATAGCATGAGGCTAGATTTATGATATATACTTATTTTAGTTTGAGGGTTATTGTTTCGTTTTTTATACTGTATCTACTGGGGGCTGAGTCTGCCTGGTCAATGTAAAGTCTACTGGGGGCTGAGTCTGCCCAGTCAATGTAAAGTGTATTATTAAGATATTATCTTTCTTTCTTTCTTTCTTTCTTTCTTTCTTTCTTTCTTTCTTTCTATACATTTCTATCTATCTTTCTTTCTTTATATCTTTCTTTCTTTCTGTGGAGCAGCGGAACATCAGAAGAACTGTAATTATATTACTTTTGTTTAACAATTAGTCAAATAATCCCATAAGGGTCGGCAATAGGCAATTTGACACGTAAATAAAAATGCAATCATTCATTCATCACTCCCAGTGTTTAAGCTAGAGCACTAAAGCATATTTAGCTAAAACACTAGATCCAGCACCCTCAACTATCAGTCTCGTAAGATATTAATAAAATAAGGCCCACAAGGTGGAAGGCAACCCCTAGAGAGCATACTAGCATTCATTATTTGATACTTTGTTTATGTCATGTTAGTGTTGTCCT